TTTCAATAAAATAATATACGCGCAAATTTAAAAATTTTTTTTATTTTTTAACCCCATATTTTCTATCAATCTACTATTTCAAAATGCATTCTTATCCAAAAATGGGACTCAAGATGATTTGTCCTTAGGATTAAATGCAAGCAAGCATCCAAAAAAAATCGAATGGACATTTTGGAACTTCTTTGTCAATGGAATGAGCTATTTTTTTTCGTATAATCACAGGTTTTTCATGAATGAATTGCATTTCAATAATCATTGAATCACAACAGAACTCAACCAAACAAAAAACAATTGTTAAGAACTTGATTTCACTTAACAATTGAAACATAAGAACATTTAAATAATAAGGAATCTTTATACATGTTATACATAAGTCCAATCGATTTTGGACATAAACATTTTTAATCTATAATTGATACATTTTATTTATGACAGATTTATTATTTAATTAAATTACTATTCTAATAAATTAAATAATAGAGTCTGTGTATTCAAGTTTTGGTAATTTGTTAAATAATGGATCTACATTTCATTGATCAGTTAAGTTGATAACGAAATTCTTGACCAAATTGTACTCATAATTTGAAAAACGTTTTCGATTTACATTAACTTAATAGTGGGTTGAAAGATATAATTGATAATCGAGATTGCCATATTTCATTTCCGTATTAATTGGATCATATTGACGAATGAGTTATAATTTCATATTAAACGAACACGTGACATTTTTCGTCACATGTGTTGTCCAACACATTACTAGAAGTCGATTTGGGATGACAAATATGAAATAATTAATTTAGGTAAATTAATGATAAATTTAAACGGTTTATCTTATTTTGATTAGATCAAAATAATAATTAACATCGTTAGGTATCCTGATCGAGAACTTAATTGGCCACACACAAAGGAAGAATGAAATATACTACTAATTAATGTATTATTCTTATCAATGTTTCTATCTAAATACAAAGCATATCCATGATGAGAATTGAAATTATTTTATTTTTGTTGTGTATGATTACGCGAATTCCCAATAATATCAACTCTAAGAGAACACAACAGTAAAATAAAGACTAAAAAAAGAGTAAGAAGAAATAATAAAACAAATCATCTAAAATTAACTAAAATAAATTAAAGAGAGGATGCGTAAAAAGAAGGAAAAAAAAGACAGACATAGACAAAGAAAAGAAAGGATGACCATCAGATATTAAAACCACCGAACCCAAAATTAAAATTTATCATATTTTTCCATTCTATAACATAATGATTATTATTGTTATTAGGTTAAAAGTCAAATTCTGAAAGTGAAAATTACCAACACTATTTCAATTGGAGAAATCCAAATAAATACAACTTAAATTTCAACTTTTCACCAATTAAATTAGAAGATTACCAGAATTGTTGGTGAAGATTTGAATTGCATAGAGATAAGGAACAAAATATTGCACTAAAGTTTGGTCATCATCAAGAGGAATTGGAACTCCAGCCCCATAAACAACACTCCGTTCATCATAACTATTCCAGATATCACCCAATGTGAAATAGTCTAAATTTTCTCTTTCTTGTGAATGCCATAAACTACTCAAATTCACAATGTAGCCATGTTCACAAAATCATCAAATAACAAAAGGGACAAATAATCAACAATCATAAACACAATTTCATAAAATAAAGATCAATCCACAAAGCAAGCAAACGTGAGATAAAGTCGAATATTATTAAAGAAATAGAAAAGGAAAAGAGACAAACTTTAGCCAGCATATATGCTGGAACAACTGGAGATGCACATTCCAAAAAAATTCAAAAGGTTTGTATGCATTTAAACCTTGTCAAAAATCAACATGATGATTCTTCAAACAGAGAAAAGAGAGAAAGACAAAGAGGTGGAGAGAATCACTAGTTATCTACCCTAGGCAGAGGATTCCCAGAAGGAATGACAAAACACTGAATATTAAATGGGCGAGGAAGAGAGAAATTAAAGAATAAAATAGAGATTATTAATGTTTGACGATTGGAAGTCAAATATTTTTTCAGGCGAAGGTATATTGGTAATATCGATAAATATATAAGGGTAAAATTGGTATTCAAAAATTTCTCATCAATCTTCTCTTTTTAATTATTGTAGATAGATTATTGAAAGAGGACTAGAAATATATGTAATCCCACCATTTATTGCTTAACAAACTTCTCATTTTATAATATTTGATGGGGATAGATACAAAGCAAGAGAAGCTGTGACTTATTCATAATATACTATTAATGGCAAAATCTAATAATCTTAAATTCAAATATTCAAATCCCGAGGGGCGAGACCCAAATCGTCAAGTACTTCCATGCATCCCGAGACAGCCTCTTTGGTCATGAACCCAAGTGGGTTAGCATAACGAACAAGGCTGGTCATTCCACTATATTCAGTGCATTCAATTTTGGCCGTTTCTAGGCCTCCCATTGGCAAACTGCACTCAACTTCTGGGCTCTTGATTAGTGTCACTTGGCAAATGTCGTTCTCACGATTGCCTTGTACGTTCAGCTTGTAGTGTCAATTGCTGTCTGCTCGACTGAGTATGTTAGGTTCCTAGTTATCACGTTGGTGCATTCCAACTTCAAGGTCGCATCTGCAATTTTATGGCTGAGTTTGGTCTCGAACAGGACATGGCATAGATCGCAGGCAGTGAGCCACGGTGGCAAAGGCCGTGATGCACAAAGCTGAGACGAGAGCAACAGCCTTTGCTATTCTTTATTCTTTATATATATTATTTTATTTTATTTTTTTACGGAAGAACCTGTAGCCGCTATCCGCCAGCGAAACCCCGACCACTCTGAAGGGGCGGATGTCCGACCACTGTGAGTGCGCACTAGGTAAACCCTACTCCATGTACAGTAATCCACAAACCACATAGAAGAGGTAAACTGCACTAAACAACTCATTCTACAACAAGAATGATCAACCAAATCAATAAAAAGTCCAATATAATTTTAAATTCATTAAACAAATCCAATCAAATCTTAACTTCTTGCTTGCTCGAAAATTAAACACCTTATTGAAGCGATAAGAAGAATCTACTTTCGAAGTTTGTATTTCCTTAGGCTCGTAGTTAAGTAGATAGGTATCTTGCTTTTCGTTAACAAAGTTAAAAGTCAATATTATAAAAGAATCCAAACTTTTTTATTTTTTGAAGGAAAAAAAATCCCAATACTTCTTAGTATAGTCCAGTCTAGTCTATTATTTGCGATTAGGTTGACCAGAAAAATTTAAGAAAAGAGAACTTACATACGTATATTAGTGCTTGCAAAAAAGAATTGACAACAAATATATAAATATATGTTAGATTCTTCATTATTTTATATATGGAATCTAACACATTTGTCACGAATATTGGTGGGAGCAAGTCAAGAATCAACTACTGTTTTCCTTAACTTACAGTACTCAGAATTTCAAACTTTAATTTTCAGACTTCAATTGCAGATTGTTACCTACCTATTCTTCTCACTAATTACACGTTAGAGCCTAGAGGCAAGAAAAATGGGGGCAATTGGGACCCAGCTTGGCGTGTGGTCCTGCATTTTGTGGATCGACCCGTCTACTTTGACATCGCTAATTTTTCTGTCTCTGAAAATTTTAGTAGCAATGATCTCGATTTAGGCATGGAGAAGCTTACAATCCATAGAGCAATGTTGTTCTGCTGACTTTCGGGACACTATATGATGGCTTTGTGTAGGTTTTTGACATTTTTTTTTATTAGAGTTTAATGAAAAAAGTGATGGTAGACTTTTAACTCCAAAGGTACTTGTTCGAGTGATATATTAAATTTTCAATCTAGGAATTAATTCTATGGTGACATGGTGTCTTAAAACTCTTCGTATACGAATAGTAAGTGTCGTTTACAAATTGAATGGTGCAAAATTGATACGTGACATCTTGGAATAGAGTGGCAGCCCATCTTGTAAGCTAATGGGATATATTTCGAGGAATTCATACCACCATGCCGAGCTTCTACTAACATCCAATTTGCTTGATGTTAGGCAAAGATGACCAAAAACTAGCACGAGCGAGCTTAGTACATGAAATGTGACAGGCTACCAACAGAGGACAGGGCGGTCATGAGAAGAATACGAGCATCAACAACCTAATTCGTGCATCTCATTAACTAAAATAAGGCTATCTAGCACCAGTTTAGATGACAATGTAAATCATTTTTAATTGTCTAATGAAGTAAAATGCATTTCAACTTTATTGGACAATGAAAGACGATCCTTGCTAGCACCTAAAACGGTCCTAGATAGCCAATGAGCATGGTCTTAACCTTAGCCAATGTTTACATGTATTTATAGCCAATGAGCATGGTCTTAACCTTAGCACGGTCAATTTCATTTCTGAAAACAAATATATCACCCACTTAAGTAGTGTTGTATTCACCTATCTCCCTCAATTTTGGGCGGTCGAGACTTTTATATATGAAGTTTTATTCAGATATTAAGACATTCTTCACTGTAAATTTTTTTCCCTCCAACAAAAAATAAAAATAAAAATTCCTCAGCCAATTTTTTTGGAAAAGTTCCATGTAAGACAGGCGATAGTCTTTTGATAAACATTCCATGCCACAAGAATATGAACAAACTACTCATTAACTGAGAATGTTTGATATGTAGTATTAGATACGACTAGACAGAGTATTTAAAAAAAAGAGAGAGAGAGATTAAATTTTATCTATGGTAATGTTCTGTTTAGTCCTTTAAAATACTGTATTCTACCAAGCATGATCACAAGGTTCACCCCATCACTATTCAACAGCTATTGCTGCTGATTATAAGTAAACAAAAAAAAACATCTAATAACTACGAAGACAGCGAATATCTACAAACCAATCTATCGACTTTCGTAAGCCAAATTAACAGCAGAATACAATGTGAATACTTGTCCAAAAGTGTCAGGAATGTACAGGTATAGATGAATTCATGGATACAGTCTTTTAAGCGTTCGAGAATGGCGTTTCGGCTTACTAACTCTGAGTGAAGAGTAAGTGGGACTGTGGGAGACCCTCTGTCACACACTCGTTGTACGTTTCCAGAGCAGAGACAATGTCACTGAAATCTGGACGCTTAGAGTGGTTTGCTACCCAACAGCGCTTCATAAGGTGTGCGAGTGCAAGTTGACAATTTGCTGCCAATGGCGGTCGCTCATTCTGAAAAATGGTTATAGAAAGAGGAAAGTAACTCAATGAGTCAGATATAAATTAATCATTTCGTCTAAAATCTTAAACTGAAGTCCTAAATCTAACCTTTTCGACCACAGCAAAAGCAGCTTGCACAGGAGTCATTCCTAGAAAAGGAAGCAAAGCTGTGGTGAGCTCCCATAGCGCGATCCCAAAACTATAAACGTCAACTTTTCGAGTATAAGGTTTCTCCTCGATCATCTCTGGTGCCATCCACCGGTAAGTCCCCATATTCCCTTTGGCTTCCCGGCATTGTGTTTCGAGACAAGACGTGCCAAAATCAGCAACCTTAACCCTCATCTCATCATTTAATAGCAAGTTGTTCAATTTGGGGTCTGTGTATCACTCCTTGTGAATGAAGATACTCCATTCCTTGTGATATATCGAGGGCTAACCTAAGAATCATCTCGGTTGAAAGTGAGTATGGCTCTTTCTTGTTTAGATACATCCTTAGAGTCCCTTGTGACATGTAATGATACTGTATACAGGAGGCTTTTTACCAGCAACAATAAACTGCACAGAAAGAATAGGTAACTTTAAGATGGTATGATCTGCAAATTGTATAATTTTAATTATTCAGAAAGACTAAAGTAAATCCAACCTCCACTATATTAGGATGATAAAGACACGAAAGATGGGCGACTTCCTACTTGAATATGTTGGCGTGAGCTGTTAATTGAAGACAAATTAGGAAAACTTCAAATTGTAAAATTCCTCCCATGATTGTAGCCTCAGATCTTGTGTAGCCTCAGATCTTGCCTAGAATAGCTTCCTAATTATTCTCTTTGCATCTATATATATGGTTGTAATCATTCTGCAGAATATAGAGAAATATAGAAAACCATATTTTACCAATTGTTATCATGGTATCAGAGCGGAACCGTTCTAGGATCTCAGCTTCTTCCAGCCATTAACCAGATTTTTTTTTTTCCCTGACTGCTTGACTTCATGGCAGAAACTACCGACTTGAGTAAGTCCATTCTTGAGGATTGGACTACCAAGATGACAGAAACCTTGAACAAAGCCCATACCTCATCTTACTCGTCAGATTCTTCCGTTGCTCCGATCGGCATTAAGTTGGATGGCTCCAACTATGCTTTATGGTCCCAAGTTGTTGAGATGTATATCTCAGGCAAAGACAAGTTGGGATATATCAATGGAGACTGTCCCCAGCCTTCAGAAACAGATCCATTTTTTCGGAGATGGCGAACCGAAAATGCTGTTGTCAAGGGATGGTTGATTAACTCTATGGATCCTACGTTGATAGGTAATTTCATTCGCTTTCCAACTGCAAAAGAGGTATGGGATTCTATTTCTACAACTTATTTTGATGGTACTGATACTTCTCAAGTGTATGACCTTCGGCGTCGTGTAACTCGCACGAGACAATCTGGTGGACCTATTGAAAAATATTATAACGACCTTCAAGGCTTGTGGCGCGAAATTGATTTTCGTCGCCCTAACCCAATGAAATGTGCTGCTGACATCAAGCAATATAATTCAATCATACAGGAAGATAGAGTTTACATCTTCCTTGATGGATTGGATGATCGATTGGACAAGATTCGAAGTGATGCATTGCAGTTAAAACCATTCCCTACGGTTGAACAAGCCTATGCTCATGTTCGAAGAGAGGATATCAGACAGGCAGTAATGAATTTGGGTACAGATCCTACACCTGGTGCTGTTATGGTGTCTAAAGGATTCAAGACAGGTGGAAAGTTGAACCTCACTTCTAAGCCTAAAGCCCAATCTGATGGCGGAAAATGTACTCACTGTGGGAGCATCAAACATACTCGAGAAACATGCTTCAAACTAGTTGGGTATCAAGATTGGTGGAATGATTTTCAGGCACGTAAAAAGCGTGAAGGTGCAACTATTGCTGAAAGTACAGGTCGCGCTGCTGTGGCCAATGCTGAACCGGGTTTGTCTTTTATCCCTCAAAAAGAGTCACCAAATGATCCCACGCATCCAGAAAATCAAGGTAACAGTGGACATGTACTTCTTAGTTCTACTACATGTAATGGTGATTGGATTATCGATTCTGGAGCTACAGACCACATGACATTTGACTCCAATGATTTCTCCCATATCACTCAACCAAGAAGAACATGTATTGCAAATGCTAATGGGGTAACATATCCGGTTACAGGGGCTGGAACAGTGACTATTTCACCCTCTATCTCGCTATCTCACACTCTACTTGTTCCCTCCCTATCAAACAAATTGATGTCTGTAAGTCAAATTACTGAAGATCTCAACTGTGCGGTGCTAATTTACCCTAAATTTTGTTTTCTTCAGGATATTCTCACCAAGGAGATCATTGGGCGTGGTACTAAGAGGGGGGGGGGACTATATTACATGGATGACTTCGGCACAGGCAGAGTTAATCACATGCACCACTTGATCAATAACAAGGAAAAACAGATTTGGCTACTGCACCGTCGCTTGGGGCACCCATCATTTGGTTATTTGAAACATTTAGTCCCTAATTTATTTTCTAATTTTCAGCCCTCTGACTTTAAGTGTGATACTTGCATTTTAGCTAAAAGTCATAGAGCCTGTTATCCAGTAAGCTTGAATAAAAGTGGTATCCCTTTTGCTTTAATTCATTCTGATGTGTGGGGCCCTTCCCCGATAACAACTTCGTCTGGTTATAAGTGGTTTGTATTGTTTATCGATGATTGCACTCGAATGACGTGGCTTTACTTGCTAAAACATAAAGATGATGTGTTTAGCATGTTTCAAGCATTTCATGTTATGGTTCAAACACAATTTTCAACTAAAATTCAAATACTTTGTACTGATAATGGTGGTGAATATGTCAACAAGCAATTTCAGGCCTATTTCCAGCGTACTGGTCTCCTTCATGAAACCTCATGCTCTCAAACTCCACAACAAAATGGCATTGCTGAGCGAAAAAATCGGCATATCTTAGAAACTGCACGAGCACTATTGATTGAGGCACGTGTGCCCAATCACTATTGGGATGATGCTGTCTCTACGGCTGTACATCTCTTGAACCGCATGCCTTCGAAAGTCTTAGATTTTAAGACACCTCTGCAAGTTCTTTCTACACATGTTCACTTGCCTACTGTTCTAATGATTCCTTCCCGAATTTTTGGTTGTGTTGCCTTTGTTCATCTTCATAAAAATCAGCGTACCAAGTTGGACCCATGTGCAGATTGTTGCCTTTTTTTGGGATATGCCTTACACAAAAAAGGGTATCGGTGCTATGATCCCATCACTAAACGAACCTTCATTACTATGGATGTTACTTTCCTAGAGTCAGACACATTCTTCCCATCACCAATATCCAATTCTCCTCTTCAGGGGGAGCTCCGAGATGAAGAGCTGAATTGGTTGAATGCTGAGTGGCCAGAATCGGAGTTTGATCAAGATAACTCAGTACAACAACAGGTTGAAAATGAAATAATAGAGCCAGAGCAGAACATTGAGATTTCTTCAGGAGGTGAGATTTCTCCAAGAGCTGAACCTACATCAATGGAATGACTTTTACACCTCGAGTTACTTAGCCCCCACTCCTTAGTACCTGAAGCGCCTCCTCTTGAGAATATCCCTGAGGTAAGTTCTCCTACCACACCTATGCATACTAATGCCTCGGATATTTCTGCGAAGTATGTTTTACCTTTCAGACAGAACCGCGGCAAGCCACCAAATCGATACTCTCCGGATGTACGAGAAAAAGGATCCAAGTATCCGATTGCTAATTATATGTCTACTCAAAGATTATCTGAACCTCTCAAAGCATTTGTGTATCAGCTATCCTTGTGCCATATTCCCAGGAGCATCGATGAGGCACTGTTAGGTCCAAGATGGGTTCAAGCAATAAAGGAAGAATCGGAGGCATTGCAGAAAAATAATACCTGGACGTTAGTCTCACTACCTGAAGGAAAGAAGACAGTAGGATGCAAATGGGTTTTTTCTATAAAATACAATGCTGAAGGGTCCATCGATCGATATAAGGCGAGACTTGTGGCAAAGGGATATACACAGACATACGGTATAGACTACCAAGAGACTTTCTCACCGGTGGCTAAACTAAACACTGTTAGAGTTTTGCTATCTCTTGCAGCAAATTTAGATTGGCCATTGCACCAGTTTGATGTAAAGAACGCCTTCTTCCATGGCGATCTTAAAGAGGAGGTTTATATGGATATCCCACCAGGGTACACAACGACTTTGGGAAAAATGGTATGTAAGCTACAACGAGCTCTGTACGGATTGAAACAATCACCTCGGGCATGGTTTGGTCGATTCAGTTCGGCTATGAGAAAATATGGTTTCCAACAAAGCAACTCCGATCACACTCTTTTCTTAAAACATCGTTCTGCAAAAGTGACAGCTCTAATAGTCTATGTGGATGACATAATTATTACAGGAGACGATGCAGAAGAGATCTCGAGGCTGCAAGAGCAATTGTCAACTGAATTTGAAATGAAGAACCTAGGAGGACTTAAGTACTTTCTTGGAATTGAAATATCCAGATCAAGACGAGGCATATTTCTGTTACAAAGAAAATATATATTGGACCTATTGTTCGAAGTAGGATTGCTGGAATATAAACCAGCTGACACTCCAATTGTTCAGAATCATAAACTTGGAGAATATACAGATCAGGTGCCAGCTGATAAGGAAAGGTACCAGAAACTAGTCGGTAAGCTCATTTGCTTATCTCATACTCGCCCAGATATCGCTTATGCAGTAGTGTAGTGAGTCAATTTATGCACTGTCCTAGTGAAGAACATATGGATGCAGAAACTCGGATTCTTCGCTACTTAAAATCCTCCCCTGGAAAAGAACTTATGTTCTCCAAAAATAGTCATCTAAACATTGATGGCTATACAGACGCCGATTGGGCAGGAAATATCTCGGATAGGAAATCCACTTCCGGCTACTTTACATTTGTAGGAGGCAACCTGGTTACATGGAGAAGCAAAAAGCAAAAGGTAGTAGCATTATCTAGTGCCGAGGCAGAATTTCGAGGAATGGCTAAAGGCCTATGTGAACTACTTTGGCTAAGAAGGCTGCTGACTGAAATCGGCTATGCTCCTAGCTCCGTAATGAACTTGTTCTGTGATAACAAGGCAGCCATCGACATCTCCCATAATCCCGTTCAACATGATCGTACCAAGCATGTTGAAGTTGACCGACACTTTATCAAACAAAACCTAGAAGAAAAAATTATTCAATTTCCATTTGTCAAATCCGAAGATCAATTGGCAGACATACTCACGAAGGCAGTGACCATCAAAAACTTCTACAACTCACTTGACAAG